ACCCATAATGAATAGAACTTAAAAATTGAGTAGCAGCCATTTAGGTCTGTCTGAAAGTTAAGCTCTGCTTTCCTTTCCAAGATCTGTGGCCCATCGCAGGCTGCTCCTCTCTGTTCAGATGACATGATGAAAAGGTTAAAGGACACCAAAAACTGGAAAGCATCAAACGTCAGACACAGTAATGCTGCGGTGCAGGAACTGAGCACATCCCAACCGAGATGCTCCAAGCTGTAGCAGCTTGTTAAATGGGACAGGCAGCAAAATCCTCATCGTCAGTTCCTGACAGGAGCCCCACTCGGTTGCTTATCTTGTAAGATAAGAGATTGTAAGCCCATTTTCGACCAGGTTCTAAAGATACGATCAGGGCATCACCCTCTCAGGCCATCTGGGTCTGCTATTGTCAGGGGGAAAGTGTCTTCAAAGATGGGACAGAGGGAAAAAAAAAACAAAACAAAACCAAGATGTGACAGAGCAGTGTAGACACTTGGGCAAGTCCACTGAGAAAGTAACCTGCTCCGGATCGAATTATTTTCCTATGCGGTGCCCCTCCCCCTTAATCCGAGGTGTTTTTTTTTTGTTTTTTTGTTTTTCACGATTTCAGCTACTCATGGTCAACCTGGGTCCAGGTCCAGAAGCAGACGATCCTCCTTCTGACCATAGGTCAGAAAGTCAGTAGTAGCCTAACGCTACATCCCAATGTCTATGTCATTTACCTCATTTCAGGCCATCATTTAGGCATTATATCATCTCACATCCTCACAAAAAGGGTGAGTACGATACAATAAGGTATTTTGAGAGAGAGACCACATTCATATAACTTGTATTACAATATACTGTTGCAGGGCGCCTGGGTGGCTCAGTTGGTTAAGCGACTGCCTTCGGCTCAGGTCATGATCCTGGAGTCCCGGGATCAAGTCCCACATCGGGCTCCCTGCTCAGCAGGGAGTCTGCTTCTCCCTCTGACCCTCTTCCCTCTCATGCTCTCTATCTCTCATTCTCTCTCTCTCAAATAAATAAATAAAATCTTTAAAAAAAACCAAACAATATACTGTTGCAGTTATTCTATTTATCACCGTTGTTCATCTCTTACTATGCCAAATTTATAAATTAAACTTTATCATAGGTATGTACAGATAGGAAAAAACACGATCTACATAGGGTTTGGTACATCTGCAGTTTTGCTGGGGGGGTCTTGGAATGTATTCCCCTTGGATAAGAAGGGACTGCTGTGCTGTATTAGTGTCCTTCAGAATTATAGCTTAGGCTGGCATTCCTCACATTCTGTCTTCAAATTCCCCAGCCTTTGACAAAAATCAGACAGAAGTCTTGGTGCCATTAGAACTGCAAACTTATATTAACTCGAGTTAGGAAACTTTATCCTAATTAGGTTTTTTTGTTTTTTTAGAGAAGGGGAGAAGGTGGAGGGGATGGGCAGAGGGAGAGGGAGAGGGAGACAATCTTTTTTTTTTTTTTAAGATTTTATTTATTTATTTGACAGAGAGAGACACAGCGAGAGAGGGAACACAAGCAGGGGGAGTGGGAGAGGGAGAAGCAGACTTCCCACTGAGCAGGGAGCCGGATGTGGGGCTCGATCCCAGAACCCTGGGATCATGACCTGAGCCGAAGGCAGACGCTTAACGACTGAGCCACCCAGGCACCCCGAGGGAGACAGTCTTAAGCAGGATCTACACCCAATGCAGAGCCCAACGTGGAATTCGATCTCATGACCCTGAGATCATGACCCAAGCCAAAATCAAGAGTTGGAGGCTTAACCAACTGAGCCACCCAGATGCCCCCATCCTAATTAAGTTTAATCTCTGTCATCTCATCAACATCAAGAGAGAAAACATGTACCTGGACCACAACTCTTGGCTCTACAGTTAACACTGGGTAGAGGTTGAACAAATATTTGTTAAACAAATGAATAAATGAAGGAATGATTGATTTGGGTTCTCCCAACATTCCGGGTTGTTGAATGGAGAGAATAGGTTTTGGAATTAGCCAGATTTGGGTGTGAACACTAGTTCTGCTGCTTGCTACTTATAATTTTTTCAGGCCCCTGTGGGCCCTCCGCAGTGAGAAGGGAGGCAGCCCAGAGAATCTGGCTGTATTCATTTCCCATTGTTGCTGCAATGAGAGCTAACCACAAATTACCACAAATAGTGGCTCCAAAAACAGAACAAAATAAAACAAACCCAACCCAGTTGTATTATATTTTTTTCCTGGAGATCTCAAGTCCAAAATAGATTTCCCTAGGCTAAAACCAAAGTGTTAGTGGGGTTTTGTCCCTTCTGGAAGCTCCAGGGGGAGAGCCCATTTCCCTTCTTTTCCAGCATCTAGACACCACCCACATGCCTTGGCTTGTGGTCTCTTCCTCCATCAGCAAAGCCAGTAGTACAACATCTTTAAATCTCTTTCTGACTCTTCTACCCTCCTTTTCCATCTGTAAAGAACCCTTGTGATGACATTGGGCACCGCTGGATCATCCAGTCTAACCTATCCATCTGAAGGTCTTTACCTTAATCACATCGCAAAATTCTTTTGCCAGGCAAGGTAAACTACTCACAGGTGCCAGGGATGAGGACCCGGCTGTCAGCGGGAGGTCATAATCCTGCTACCACAGCAATCACCAGCCAGAGGCCGCACTTAGCAGATTTGTTCAACAGTGGCGGGTGGGAAGCACCTTCATTCCTCCTCAGGGTACCTCAGATAGTGCCTAAAAAGCACTCCCTAGGGAGTCCCCCGCACCATAAGAGCAGCGTCTGCTTCTTTCCTTGGGAACAATCTAGCTCTGGCTAGGGGTGTCTCACTGCTCTTTCCACTGTGGGGCAATGGAATGGTCTGGGCTCTCCCTAGGACTCCTTGATTTTTGTAAAATAGCATTAGCTCCACCCAGCTTGGTTGAGTATTCACCTACATGGATGTGCACTTGGCTAAAAATCTTTCCTCTAACGGCCACCTTGAACTCAGTGTTGCACACCACCAATCAAATCTTGGTTGGGAGAAACAGCATTCAAGGAGACCCACCTGAGAGTTGGGCCGTCCAATGACATCTTTAAACTCCCCATAGGTTAAACCAGACCACATCCTTTTGGCTCCAGGATATCTGCTTTCACTAAGTGTTGCTTTACTTTGGTGCTATTAGATGACATTCAGGCACACCATAAGAAAAAGCATCACGGAAATAGTTGCATTTATTATAACAGTTTTGTGGAGGATGGTTTATTGCATGTTGGCCTACATTTCCTATGAGAAACAACAGAGAAATACTTCCAGTCTCTGAACCCAGGACTAGCTATGGTTTCCGCCACTAACTGTTTTGTTTCCCTCAAACGAACACCACCTCCTGTGGCTGGTTGTTTTTCCTTCTTTGCGTTCACCATTAGGAAGAATCTGCAGCAAAGCTTTAGGACATGAGTCTGCATTTATGGGCACCCACTTCTCTTCCAACCTCATTGTTCCTTCCCCGTTTGCCTTCATCTGTTTCACATTTTGGATCTCATTGTTTTAGTGTCTAGAAGCCCAGAATAAGGCATGCTAAAAACTTTTTTTTATCCCCCAAGATTTTTTTTTCCCTTTTGTGAGACACATGCCCCTGATACATTCCTCTTTGTTCCAGGCACAAACTAAAAATGAAACACACACACACACACACACACACACACACACACACACACACACACACACACGAAAGGAAACCTCATCAGTGCCAATGTTTAAACGTTGATCCCCAGCAGAACTGGGTTCGGCACCACTGTAGAGACTGGAGCTTATGTTGACAATACGAAAACAAGTCTCCTGCACTTCGTATGCTGAGCACACAGAGACCATAAATGCCAACATTCTAAATGGCTTGCTTGCTGCTAGTAGATTCCCTGGCACTGAAATCTATTTCTTTTCTAAGGATATTTAGCTTTTATTGTATCTTTACTCATGGTCAGAAGACATCAGCACATTTGCTAACGCAATGGAAGGTATTCCTCATAAAGAAACGCACTTTACACCAGGTAGGGTTTTGATGGCCATAGAAAGCCAAGATAAGAAAAAAATTAACGTTGGCCGAACTTCCAGTGAAAACATCTTTGAGATAGACCCAAACATATGAGTTCATTTCTGAGCTCATCAAACCACAGAACCCCAGTACTGAGAGCCAGTCCTACTAAAGGCTGTATTATGAACTTCTCTTTTTAATCTCTAACCCATAGAATCCAGAACATAGTATGTGTTCAGTAAATACTTGTTGAATGAATGAGTCATACCTCTCACGCTCAGAAAGACTCAAGTTCTACTTGGACCCCCATAGATCGTGATGGAAACACATTCCTTGCTGTGTGGCGGGTATGCAGTAGGGACTGACTGACTGGCACTGAGACGTATCCAAACCATAGAAGAAATTTCTGCCATCCCTGAACTGCAAGGCAGCAATTTTGTATTTCCATTATTTCTCCCCTTATCAAAGACACACCTGACAAGTGATATTAGCATGTCCAGTGATTCTCATAGATATTCTTAGGTTTATGCCTAATTACCAGTGTGCTAATACAATCTCCATTCACCTCTCCCACTCAAGAAAATATATCAGAACACAAACGAATAAGGATGTCATCAATATGGGAACAACCTAGAATCCATGGCAATTTATCGAAGAAGTAAGTCATCCACCATTTTGGTGTTTCAGATAATATTAGTAGTACATGACTAATGAGGCATCGCACAGTGACTGACGCAACGGTCCAATGTGATACCAAGACTGAAACCATCTCTGAGACCCACTGAGTCCTAACATGCGATTTGGAGACCTCTCAGACTCCAGAGGCTCTTCCTACCCCCAACACAGTCATCTGTCTGAGCTCTGCCACGCACGTGAGCTTCATCCAGAACCGCGGAGATCATCGCTACTAATGGACATAGCTCACATGGGAATCTCACTGTCAACTGGGGATCCGTCCACTTTCACCATTATGATTTTAAGGAAGAGGACGCACAACCAACCAACTTACCACGCCGCCGCCAGCAGAGTGCACGAGCACAGACATTCCTTCTCGGAGGTTGGCAACTTCAAAGAGCATCATATAGGCTGTGACGAAGTTCATGGGGAATGCAGCAGCCTCCGAGAAGCTCATGTCGTCTGGGATCTTGTAGACAAATTCCACCGGTGTGCAGACCACCTCTGCCCAGGCATTGTAATTGACAAATGCCATGACACGGTCCCCGATCTGGGAATGGGGAGGCACAGGGTTAATGGAAGCTTCTTAGTCTTTTTTGAAAGATTTCTCAAATCCTTTTGAGAACCTGGGGAAAATTATAGATTTCTTCCCAGAAGAAAAAAAAAAAAAAAGCAACCAAACCTTCAAATATGCTCACTCTCACATGCCTGCCAATTCCAAGGCACTCATGGATGCGCTGAAGCCCATCTATGAAAACTTGCTGGGGGCTGTGAAAGCCAGGTTCTCTACCCCTCTTCCCAAGCATAAATGTACAATATCGTCACATCACACACCATGGCATGTTAGTGTCGGAAGATCATTTTACCGACTCAACCTCTCATCTCCTCTCTGTTTGGGAGTTGAGGAGAACTAAGCCATAAGGAAATTTAAACAGGCAGAGCTGCGAGTAAACTCTACTCTCACTTGTTTTCTGCCACTCCATAGGGATTCCCTGCCAGGCTAATTTATTGGGGCATTTGCATCAAAGGTTAGCACTGGATTACTGATCACAGTAGTCGTGAGATGTGGTGCATCCGAAGAGCTGTGTAAATCTAAGTGCAGGAGACTGAACGAGAACAACCAGACCTAGAGCAAAACAGGAGAGTGCCATGGGCTGTGATGAACAACTAGTCCTTTTTTGGACACGTATTATACGGTAGGCATTGTCCTAAGGACGTCACCTAATCTTTACAAAACCCCTATGAAGGCATGGCTGAATACTGTGTTCTTTTTATCAGTTGTTTACATAGCCAGACATCATGAAAAGAAAAAGCATTCTTACCTTTAAAGTGGTTACGATAGAGTGCCAAGTTTTTTCATAGTACATCATTAGTAAAGGGAAACACAAATGAGTGAACTGATAGTAATAGCTTGTATGAGCTGCCAAGTGCTGGTGAAGTTGAACCACTCTGCTGTTTGATGTTAGTTGCTTGGACTATGACTTTCAAACACAATATTCAAATTGCTGTGGTCAGAGTGAATTTTTAATAAATGAATGGCTTTCATATGCGTGTGCTTTACTTTTATATATTTATAACTGAGTCTCCTGTTTTATTTTCTCTGTAGCTTACTCAACAAACAACAACAAAAGCCTCCTATGAGATGGGTCCATAAGAGCTCACATTACAGATGAATGGCTATAGATTTTACAGACATTGAAATTGAGGCCAAGAGAGATGAAAGCACATGCCCAAGGTCATGGAGCTAGGGAGTAGCTGAGCCAGGATTTGAGTCTCACAAGGCTGACTCCAGATACAAATGATTAATTCATCACACCTGGGGTAAGCGCTACAAAGAAGACAGAGTTCTCAAAGGGTGTACACCAGGGGGACCGACCGCCTCTGGGAGTATTAGTGTAACTGTTTACGTTTTGTCTGCTGTAAAATGAGTATATTAGGGAACGGTCCTTACGGAAATGAAGTAACACAATATGCACGCAGCATACTTGGTGTGATGCATGTAAGGTGAAGAAAGAACAATCAGTGTTAACTCTTAAAAAGAACAGACTGGTTTCTGGTCTCATGGAACTCACAGCTCAATGATCACATGCTAAACACAGACCCACTGTATCTCACAAACCCGAAGGAACAGCTGTCTAATGAAGGAACCGATGGAAAGGAGAGGCTGTCCCTTCAGCAGTGAGCGTCCTAATCCCTGGAAGACCAACTGATGAATGTTGGGAATTATCATCTTAAATGCAACCGCTTGGACCAGAGGATAACCAAGGTCTAACACCGGCATCCTCTTTTGCACAGAATCGTGCAAACCCAAAGATACATAGCACCGTGGAGTAGCTGATGGCTTCAAGTGTCAACACAGAGGGCAGTGAAGAGTAGTTCAACCACCTCGACAGTGACAGTCCCAGCCATCCCAGCAGGGCTGACCGCTCCAGGGCTCTCCTTCAACTTTGCGCCATCACTTCCTTATAAAAATGGCGTGAGTGGCTTAGCCATCACATCAGCCCTAGCCTGAGTCCAGAGGTAGGCAGCTTTTTTTTTTTTTTTTAATATCCAGTCCACCTCATTATTTGATTTTGTTAATAAAAAAAAATTAGTCCTGGGTGACTGAGCCCCAATTATTCCTATACTGCTGTGCCTCTGGAGACAACTTTTCAAGCTTCCCTTGCAATGCATCAAACCAGGAGAGCTATTCAGTGTGCTGCCCCGTGATATTCCATCTGCGACATGGTTGAAAATCTTAAGTCAAAATTTTAGGGGGACTATTAGTATTGGTTTTCCCCCAAGTCACACCCAGATTGGAAACCTGTAGGTGGCTTCTTTCATTTGTTTGTGCAGCTGAAAGTCACTGGAGGGGAGTGGAGGTGAAGGGTAGGATTGACAATAAGTAAACCAGGCCTAAGCAGCAAAAGAGAGATCACATATAAGGGAAAAAAAATAATCAAGCATTGTATGTCCTCCTTCTGAACCAGGGCCAACGACATCCCTATCTACTGTTATATTCTAAAATAATGGATTACTTATGCAAGGCTCAGGATTAATAGTGATAGGAGTATGATCTTTTCCTTTAGGACCAGGTAGGGGAGTGAAGAAGAGATACTATTTCTCATATGCAGCACTTTCAGGGAGAGATGGTGCTGCCTCTGCTTATATTGCTTACCTGGGAACAGAAATGCAAAGTCATATGAAAGAAAGGGAGAAGTGCATTTACTTCTTTCTTAACACTTTACTGCTGTATTATCTGGAAACCAGTGACAAAAAGACTGATGTGTGGGATGAGATTTTCAGACATTCATCCCAGGGAATTTGGAACATATTGATATTTTCAGAGTGTATTGAGGCTCAAATGCACTGAGCCTGAGCAGCAGGCTCCAATTCAATGCCAAGGTCATTTTGGCATTGCATTTATAGGATTTTCCTTTCTGCATTTAGCTCTGCAGCATTTACAGGTTGGGAGCAGGGGTGAAGATCTGGTGACTTGAATCCATGTTCATCTACCTTTCTGGCCTCCCCAGAAACAACTGTACTCTTCTGAACTTCATCTTCAAAGGGAAAATAACAATCTTTACCTAGCAGCGTTGTAGTAAGGCTGAAGAAGGATGACTTGCCCATGTTTCTGGTTATGGTGGATTCTCAAATATTAGCTCTGTTCATTTCTTCCTGGGGAACCACTTAAGTTATGAGGAAGAGCTCTTGTACCTGATTGGCACTGGTTTTTCTCACTCCAAATTGCTGCAATTTTGTGCGATTGATTTGCCCACAGTTTTTCAGTTTTTAGAGACTGGATTCTATTTGATTTGCGTTACAGTGGTAGGAAGGGTCATATATCTTTTCATCGATTAAAAATTTTTTATTATGGAGAATTTCAAACACGTACAAAATAGTCAGAAAAATATAATAACCCTTTTTATCCATTGCCCTCTTCCCAAAGCAATCAACCCATGGCCAATTCTGTTTCATTGCCAGGTACCTCTACCCTGTGCCTTTAAAATCATCATTCAAAAATGTCACTTTCCCAGTGTCTGAAAGAATCATTTATAAATGATTACTTAAATGCATAAAGGAACCAAATTATGAAATACAGAGGATATTTCTCCCCAACCTCTATGTTTTGTAGTTGGTTTTTGAGCCTGAGGTGGTGGGAAAATGGGAGCCATGGGGAGGGTGAGGGGGTATGCACACCTAGTTAACCCAAGGCCAGACATTCTTGTTAACAGCTGTATTACATGAACAAAAGGGAAGACAAATTTTTCCCCGGCCACTTCACCAGGCTATTCCCAGGAGCAACCAAGATGGTACACGAGAAAGGCATGAGGCATGTGGAAAATCCTATCATTTATAAACGTGTTAATAAAACCTACCAGTAAGATGACAATAATAACACACACCATAGACTCAAACATTTCTTTCACTATCTTTTATATCTCAACAGATTCCAAATAGGTATTACTTTTTTCCATCATTAGTCAACACATTACCTCGTATCCTTTCACGCTGTCCCCCAGAGCTTCAACAATCCCAGAACACTCAAATCCTGGCACCAGGGGAGTCTTGGGAGGGTTGTCGATGTTCCCCTGTCGCACCATCAAGTCAATGAAGTTTAAACCACTGTGAATGGCAAATGTGAAAAGAGAGACATTCAAAATGGAATCCAAGAGAATACCCTTGGCTTGACTTTTCTTCTACTCCCTTCTTGGCCCTCTCTCCCTTCCCCCATTCCTCTCTTGTCTTTTTTTTTTTTCTCTCTTTCATGCAAAATAGGCCTAAGAGCAGTCACTTGACTGGATGTCACTAATAAAGCAAAAACAATTATCTCTACAGACAAGGAATGCTTTCCTGGCAGTTAGAATTGCCACTGCAGGTGTTACCCTCTGATTTAAAAGACAGCTCCTTTGTCCTCCCTCAGAGCCTGCTTACTCCTACTCTAACAACACATATCGGCTGGCCTGGTCATTAGCCATGCTAGCACTTCCTGAAGGGTAAAGAATATACTAGGAAGAAGTTATAAGAAGACTCATGGAAAGCAGCCAGACGCAATGGCCATCAGCCAATCTATGAGAAAGAGAGAGGGAGAAAAGGCAAATTTAAAAGGTCTCAAAACAACTGTCACTGATCAGTCAGCACACAGATTCCTCCCAGCACTGTGCCATACACAGTGAATATGAGCGAATAGGAGCCATCAAGGGACTACATTACATCCAGCCGGGGGACTTCACTAGAAGTGAGATCAAACAGATGAACCAATGGATTAATACTGGAGGGTTTGTTTCAAAAATCCTAGTTCTCTCTGGATGAGAAAAGGGACTAGGTTTTTTCTATTAACATATTAATTTTGAAATAGGAAAGTTATTAAAATGTATTAAGCCATCACCTTGGAAAACTATATACTTGATTTTAATGATAACATCAATGCTCCAAAATGTTGTTTTCTTTTTAAGAGCTAGTCTTAGAAACCACTTTGAACACTCATTTACTAATCAAATGAGAAAACACATCCCACTGAACACGTATTTTTTTTCGCAGGATGCTCTAATGTACTTCCTGTTTCCATAAGCTGCCATTCTAAGAAAGACTCAGGTTATAGGAACCAAACTCCTTGGTCTGGCCCAAGGTCCATTAGTGTATGGCCACAGCTTCTTTTCCAAGCAAGATGACTCAAGCTACTTTTAAAACACAACTTGCCCATTCCTTCCTCGGCCTCTTTGGAGCCCAGGAAACATCAAATTCTGCTTAGATCTCCTGGTCATCAGTGTCCCCCATAGAGAATGGGTAACAATGAGGAGGATGACTTCCTTGAAAGGTGGGTTCATGGGTGGCCACCTTCTCAAGGTTTTCCTGGTCACACATCAGGCAAGTTTCACAGTTGCCCCAGCTGAACTATCTCTAATGCGTGTCTTCCTTGAAGGCAGCTTCATGCCTCTTATTTCTTTGCTTCCAGAGTGCCTGGCATGCATCAGGCCCACAGCAACAGAGTAGGTACTCAGGCAACATCTGCTGAATGAAGGAATATATTCATGAGTATTCTAACAGAGGTGCTGCCAGTGTGAGCACTAACTCCTTTCAAAAAGTGGCCACGGTATGCTCAGAGGAATGGACACATTTCTGAAATGTGCTCGTAGACTTCCAGAGATCCTACGTTTTGATGGTGAAGAGTTCATAGGGTCACTGATCAACCAAATTGTCCTCCGATAGCACGGCCAGTTTCTTAAGAGCTTGGAGAGGCCTGGGCACCAATCCCAATTCCACCACCTTCACCCGCGTCACCTTGGACCAGTTCCTTAGCCTCTGTGAGCCTCCATTTCCTGGTTGGTAGTACTTGTCTCACAGGGGTGTCAGGAAAATGAATGACAGGTAAACACCTAAGCAGGATGCCAGCTACATAGTAAGTATCCAATAAACGCTAGCATTTAAATGTGCATCTTCTCTTAAGAAAGCAGAAGTACGTGATACATTGTAGGAAGACTCCCATTAAACAAGAGTTAAAAACAGTTTCAGAGCTGCGATGGGAAAACTTGGCTACCCACAAGCTTTGCTTGTGTGAAACAGCCCATTTTCCAATACAACCAAATAAATAAAGCATCACCACATAACAATAAAAGGAATTTCCATGTCCCAAATCAAGCACTCCATCTCTCATTTCATGGATATTTTAGCTCACTGTGTTTTCCTTTGCGTGAAAACCTATGATTTCCCAAGACCCTGATGGAGAAATGCCAGAAGAAATTACTTGACAGTTCTGTAAACATGCTAACCCCTGGAGAAGGTTTTGTCCTAGACGCTTGTTATGCTGTTCAATCAGGCTGCCTTGGACCCCCATCCAGCATGAAGTGGGCATGCTGATTGTAAACCGAGAGCCAGCTACTCAAATCCATCAAGAAAGGCTTAGTAAGACTGACTTTATAAAAGCCCGTAGCATCCCATCCATTTCCACAGTGAGGCAAGCGGCAATTCTACTGGGGTCTTGGAGAACGCCACCCATCTTCAGGAAAGAAACGTGAAGTGGGTATATTCCAGGGGATGGGGGATGGGTCAGTGTTCATCTCCACACAGAGAGATGGTGAACAGTTGTTAATGGAGTACCTTCACATGTTGTACCAGACCTAGTTCAAGGGCCTGTCCACACACCTGCTCCTGAGATGGATACAGCTAGCATTTACTGAGGGTTCAATTTCTGGCAGGAGCTGTGCTAAGTGCTTTACTTCATTGTTTAAGACTCAACAATACTCCTGTGGGGTATGAACTATCACACCCATTTTCCAGATGAGAAAACTGAGACTGAGCAAGAGTAAGTAACTTGCTGAAAATCTCATCTTTAGAAACTGTCAAAGTCAGGATTTGAATGCAAGCAAAGTCTAGAACTTGAACCCTTTACATACGATGCCTCTTTATGGGAACTTCACCCACTGGCTGAAGCAACGTGTCCAGGGGGCCGTGTTTATAACTTATCTCTTTGACAGTTGATTGCACCAGTGGTGGGCCCATTGTTGGAGGAGTGGCCATTCCTAACCTAAGCAGGAATCCCTTGCTTCATATGAAATAAATAAGCTGATCTAAGAACTGAGCATTCTCTCAAAAACTCTGAATTAGGAAACTTGCAGCAAGAAAACAACTTATTGTCAGAAAGGACATCAAAAGATAAAACTGAGCTAGAGGGACCTATTGACCTGCACTCTAGGGAAGCAGAAGTGAAAAAGTCAGTAGGTAGGGAGATGCCCGGGTGGCTCAGTTGGTTGAGCGTCTGCCTTCAGCTCAGGTCATGATCCCAGGGTCCTGGGATCGAGTCCTGCATCAGGCTCCTTGCTCAGCGGGGAGCCTGCTTCTCCCTCTGCCTGCCGCTCCCCCTGCTTGTGCGCACTCGATCTCTCTTGCTCTCTCTCTCTCTCTCTCTGTCTCCAAATAAAATAAAAAGCCAGCAGGTAGGGAAATTAAAAGAAAAAGACGAAGAGCAGCAGAAGCAACCCAGCAGCCTGCCCCAGGGTGGGCTATACAAACTTTGTTGCCGGGTTGCCAAGAATGCAAAGGTCCAGTCTCCATACTTGGTGCAGCCCAGGCCCAGTGCGCCTCCTGCCCTCTAATTTCCAAGAATTCTTTTGCTACTCCACACTGGTCTTTAGAACAGAACCTCTTTGTTTGTGTTACATGTGTGGTCCCTGTCTCATGAAACCAAAAGACACAAAGTAAAACAAATACCATAATCAGTAACCCTAAATCATCCACTGGACAGATATTATTGACCTCATTTTTTTTTTTTAAAACAAAACCAGTAACACTGTGCAGAGATAATTAAGTTATTTGCCCAAGGCCACACGGACAGTGAAGAGTGAAGCCAGGGACTTAAACGGGGGTCCAACACTGTTCTTTTGCCAAACTCTACACCTTCTTAATCATAGTTTCCAGTATTCTCTAAGATAATCTGATTTTTACTTAGACACTGTTTGAGGATGGCAAGGACTATTTTCTTGACCCGGGCTCACATAGAGGGTAATCTTCAGATTTCTCTCTTACCTAATATTTATTTATATGGCTCTTAAACATTTAAGATTGTTGCAAAAAAAAATAAAATAGTGCTGGAATATGCTCAATAAAATGTTCTGCTAGGTAACCTTTTCTCACAGATTAGTATAATTTTAATTAAGAAGACCTTAATTTGTTCTTCCCATACTATCACTCAAAGCCTATGTTTAAAGAGTTATTACGAAGACATTGCAGCCTGAAGGAATGAAGACAGGTTTGACAAAGGGACCCCCAAAACCTCAAGGCAAAGGATGAGAGATGTGATAGAAGACACAGGGAAATGTAGTGATAGTCCCTTTACAAAATAAAACTGTTACATCACCGGATGGTGACGTCTGCAATGTGCTTTCACACACATCTCATGAAGCCTTGTATCAATCCCGGAAAGGCTACAAGTGCAGATGTTATTATTCCCATTAAATAGATGTGAATAAAGAGACTCCTTAGATAAGAAACCTGACTTGTCAAAGACAACACAATTAGCACATGGCAGAGCTGGGACTTGAATCAAGGTCTTTAAACTCCTTGATTATCGTGTATCCCGTGACACCATGAACTCTTAGATATAAGTAGATATGGCCATCTGTGCACGGTGGGGCCTTGGCTGAGTCTCTGGAGCCCTAACCAGGTCTTCCACATTGTTCACTTGGCTCTCCTTTGTCCTGCATGCTCTCCTTAAGATATTATCAAATCAAAGCTTAGGTAAATGGCGGTGGTGGGGGGGGGGGTGACTGGGTGGCTCAATGTTAAGCATCTGCCTTTGGCTCAGGTCATGATTCCAGGGTCCTGGGATCAAGCCCCATGTCAGACTCCTTGCTCAGTGGGGAGCCTGCTTCTCTGCTTCTCCCTCTGCCTCTGCCCTCCACCCCTGTGCTCACTCACTCTCTCTCATATAATTTTTAAAATCTTAAGAAAAAAAAAGCTTAGGTAAATAGGAAGGGATGCTTGGTGGTCTTAGGAAAAGACACTGATTTGGGATGCTTAGATTCTAGTTAGAAGGAAGGCAAGCTAGCCATGGCCTCTATACTTTATTTTCTGTTATCTACTAAGTGATGGATGCCAACCCTGTAATGTTTCATGAGAGATGTTTAGCT